CAGAAACCAGCATGGAGCTTATACCAGGGGAAGGCTGAGAAGTGAGTCAATGCAAAGCAGGTATGACCATGTCTGAGAGAGGGAGTAGGTTGGGAGAGGGGATGACCTTTTTTCTGCACTGCTTACGCATCTCTCTCCTGTCTCCCCACTATCTCCAAGTGGGACTGTCTCCCACTGGCCTCCACTGAGGTCCAGTTTTAATTGCCAAACCCTGTGAGGTAGAGATTAGATAGAGCTTCTTTAACCTCATGCCTGCATCCCCAGCTCTGCCTGAATTCCAAAGTCAAGGTCAAAACCCAGGAAGTCCAGATTTCCTAATTCTCTTCATCAGGCCTGTTCCAGATGTGCTACCCAATTTCCAGCTGCCTTATGCCCTTGCTCCTCCATTACAGAAGAGGAGTAATTGACCATGGTCTATCTACACAGCACCCCAAACCCCAAGACCCAGGCAGGGTGCTATAGTGGCCTGGTTACAAAAGCATCACGGTGAACCTCACAGCTACAACCAGCCTTATACTCAGTCTTGCAATAGTCACTGGTCCCTCAGATCCATGCCTCTGTCAACCATATCTACCACCCTTCCAGCTATGTGTTCACTGGCACATGCTGTTGAATCTGCAACAGGCTCTAACTTCTGGAAATACAGCAGGGAAGAGAACCTAAGTTCTCACTAGATGAAGTGAAACATAAATGGGTCAAGGAAATGTCCAATAGTGACAAACACTGAGTCAGGAGTTTAAAGTGGGGTGCTGTGGCTGAGAATTAGTAAGCAGTTCCTTCAGACTAGGTGGCTTCTGAGAAGGTAATCGGCAACGTATTCACAGGGCGACAATCATGAGAAGGGGATGGCATCCGAGACTAAAGGGGCAGCTGATGTGAGGTCCCAGCACAGCTGCTGTGCCCTGCTGGAGGAAGAGAGGCGGTCCAGGGCCTGGAACATGATGGTGAGAGGGAAGAGATACATGAACACTACCAGAGGCCAGCAGGACTGTCCTGAGGGCCATTCAGGTGTGAGACAGGGTTTCTGTCTGATGTGATGGGAAGACCAGGAGAGCTTCAAGCCCAGGAAAGCTGGTAGTCCCAGCCAGTTATCTCCCTGGACAACTGCTTCCCTCTGTCCCTCTTGCCTCCACTCTACTCCCTTGCCTGATTCACAAATTATTTCTTGCTCTATCTTTCTGTTGATTAAAAGTCCAGCTCTTGGGTAACACAAGTACCCAAAGTAGTCCAAATCTTTCATTCTTACCAAAATCAAGCATGGTAAAGCTAATATGAGTGTAAAATGTAAAACATGTTTTGGGAAGTATTTTTAAAAACTTCTCCCAACCCTAAATTACACCAAAAAGAGGTGGTTTTTTTTTTTTTAATTAAAGCCCATTCTCTAAGAACACATTGGTATTAAAACATTATAAATTTCTTAGTTTTTAAAAAAATATTTTATTTATTTTCATACTATGTGTATGTGTATATTTCCTGCATGTATGTAAGTGCACCCCTATCATGCAATGCCCATGGAGGTCAGAATAGAGCAACGGATTCCCCTGGAACTGGGGTTACAGACGGTTGTTAGCCACCATGTGGGTTCTAGAAATTGAACCCAGGTCTTCTGCAAGAGCAGTCAGTACTCTTAACCACTGAGCCATCTCTCCAGCCCCAAATTCTCTAGTTTTATTGTCTTTAAAAAAGAAACCCTTTGGCCTGTGGCATGGGGGCACCAGTCCTAACTTCCCCTGGTAACAGGGCCTGTCTGTGAGCTCCTTCCTATAGCAAAGACCACACAGTCTTCAGAGCTATGACTCCTGTGGAAGCCAGTGGAGTGGGGCTTGAAGTCTTGTCTCTACAGGACTGTGGGAGAATTTGCAGCCAGGATCCCTGGTGGGTGGGACCATTCAAACTTGGGCTTTCTAGGCCCATGCTTCTTCCTTTATCTTTTCTCTCCTGTTTCTTTCTTTTTAAAAAATATTTAATTTATTATTTTATATTTTTTTATGTTCATGCATGTATTGCCTGCATGTAGATAAGTGCACTCATGTCAAGCAATGCCTGCAGAGGACAGAAGAGGCTGTCAGATCCTCTAGAACTGGAGTTATGGACAGTTATTAGCTGCCATGTGAGTGCTGGGATTCAAACCTGGGTCTTCTGCAAGAACAACCAGTTTTCTTTAACTGCTGAACCATCTCTCCAGCCCCCTTCTCTCCTGTTTCTAAACAACATAAATACAATAGTCCTCCTATTATATATTCCAAGATCCTCGATGCTTGAAACTGCTGATAATAATAGAACTCAAACTACACTGTGATTTTTTTCTTAATAAATATACCTACAAAAAAGTTTAATTTATAAATGAGGAACACATAAATTAAGAAGAAGCAGAAATTAGCAGCAATAACTAATAATAAAATCATTATGACAAAATACTGTAATAAAAGTTACTCCAAACTTATAAATTGTTTATTTCTGGAATTTCCCAATTAATGTTTTTGGAACTGAAATTATGGAAACCAAAGAATAAGGGGGGATACTGTGTGCCATGCCTGGTCTTGCATCAAACAGCAGGTGTTTTACATATTCTGGGCCATTATCACACACAGGCATGTGCTATGAATGCAGCTTTGCAACATGTACCCTTCCCCTCTTCCCAGCATCCCTCTATCTCAGACACTGAGCGGCTGACTACTGTGGGAGGCCTGGAAGCAGCTTTCATCCACAGTCTGTCAAACTCTGTCTCCATCTTTTCATATTTTGTACTGTGCTCCTCTGGAGGGAGCTCTGGCCTGAACTCCCCCAGGTGCAAAGAAACTGAACCATGGCCAGAAACCAGCCTGTGAGCTCTCAGGACTCTGGGATACTAAGAGTAGACACCCAGACAAGCATTTTCAAAGAGCTATAGCCTCCGTATCCTGTTCTTTCCTTTTTAAATTTTTATTTGGTTACATAAGAATACTGACCATAAGATTAGTCCTCAGGACAGGATTATAAGAGCACCATGTGGGACTGTTCACTGTTGGGACAATGAGCTATGGCAGAGCCCTACAACTTATCCACCTCACTTGACTAATTTGATGCCTATTGATTAAAATACCCCTATTTCACAAGATGTAGTGGCAGAAGGCAGAGATAGCAATTCAAAGCTATTCAGGGCTACAAAGCAAGACATTGTCTCAAAGATGAATAAATCAATACCATAAACCCCCATTTCCCTCTCCTCATAGCCCCACAGAACATGTACCATTCTACACTCTGATTCCTCAGGTTTAGCTATTTTCAATACCTTGTAGAAGTGGAATCATAGTTATTCGTCCTTCTAGCTTATTTCACTGAGCATAATGTCCTCAAGTAACAGAATTTCCTTCTTAAGACTGAAAAACTAGTCCGCTATATGCATACACCACATTCCTTTGCCAACTCATCCATCAGTGGCATTTACATGACTACCACATTTTGGCTTTGTGTGCTATAACTTGGATACAACATAAAATTGGGCTTTCAATTGGTCTTTGTCCACCTCAGAATGCAGAACCATTACAGCTGTGCTCATAGTCCTAGACTCCATCCTAAATGCATATCCTATGGCCCTGCCAGTGGCTGTGGCCATGCTTACCCCTTCTACAGGGACTAGAGGCCCAAGCCTATCTGCTTAGTGTCATTCTTTGCCTTAGTGGCAATAGCTCTGCTTCCAGGAAGATGCTAGGGAACGAGCTCCCCTCCTTGGTGAAACTCAGAGGCAGGTTGTCCATCTTTGACATGCCCTGGTACCTCTTCTGCTGCTTTAAGGAGTCTGAATACTCCTCCCCTCCCTTCCTGACCCTCGCTGGCCCCTGCTTTGCCTTCTCTCTGGTTTTATAACCGGAAGTCTTATAGGCCCTTTAGCATTTCTCAGAGGCCCTTGGGACCTAGTTCTGCCTCTTCTACCTCTTCATTATCACTCTCTCCTCCTTTTCCTCTGCTCCTCCTATTCTTTCTATGACTACTTCCCCCACCCCACCATACTGAACTACAGACGTTCATTTCCCTGGAGTCTCAACGTCCTATAACCTTTCCTCCTTCCTGGAATGGCTTTCTTCCTCCTTTTACTGGCCAGATCCTATCCTTCAAAACTCAGTTCAGTTATCATTTTCAAGGGAGCCTCCATAAGTCCACATTGCACTAGTCAACCTCTGCTGGTCTACCTATGACTTAGAATTTACCATATAGTTTTTAAGTATCTGTCTGTGGTCTAGGATCCCCACTAAGCTTCCTTGTTTGAGGACAGGGGCATGCCTCATATTCCTGGAATCTGACATGTTGGATATATTCAAAATGTGCTCAGAGGATGGATGCTACAGATGCATGGATGTATGGATGGATACTACAACCACTGACCCGATGGGCCCAAATCAGTGGACTCCAAAGAGTCTGACTACTAGGGAACATACACATTTTAGCCTTGGGACTACTCCAGCTACTGTATTAACTCCTGAACCAAGTTGGCTTTGGTTATGGGATTATTAGATTCCACTGTCTACAACTCTTTGGGATTCTCATGAGGCCAAAGAGGCATTTGACACATGCCTTCTTAAGGAAGGTAAGTGCTTTGGGGTCCTCCCTGCCCTCCTGGGCTCCAGTCTGCAGCTGCTCTCACCCTTCCTGCCTCTGAAGATTTTTCACTCCAGGGGCTGTAGCTGAATGGTAGAAAGCTTGCTTAGTTAGCATATGCAAAGCCATGGGTTCAATCCCTAGTACTGTAAACAAGACTTTCACTCTTAAAATTCCCCTTTTGAGGAAAGATCTATAAATTTTCAGACAGCCCTGAAAACCAGGTAGCCAAGAGCTAGAGAAAAGCAGATCAAAACTAAGGAGGTTGAGAAGCAGGGAAATTTTTGGTAAAACTGGACTAGGCAGACACTTTCAGGAAAAGAACAGACTTCTAGCCCTTGCCCTCTCTTGAAGCTTCCCTTAGCATCTAAAGAGTCCAAGGCTATACCCTCTCTACTCAGCCTGAATCCTGCTCACACTCTCACCTCCCACCTCCAGTGGGCACTGCTGAGTTAATGGCCTGAACCATGTCTGTGGTGAGGGCATCCAGTAGGCTGGTGATAAATTCCATCTTCTTCCCTTCCGGACAGCCTAAAAAACAAAAGGACATTAGAAAGCTGAACCCAGGTAAGTCATTAAGCAAACAGCTTTCTCAACTAACATCCATCCCCAAACTTCAAGGTCCCTATCCAGTGCCAAATTCACTTTGGAGATGTGTTCACTGCTTAGACCATTTCATAAGCCTCCATTACTCCTCCACTCATAATTCACAGAGGAACATCAGACCAAAAGGCTAATAATGCTTTCAGTTTTCCCCCATTCCACAAATTTCTGCTGAGTACCAATTCAGGTACTATATTAAATACTGGAGAGAAAACAAACAGTGTTCTTTTCCTCATGGAGTCTGAAGTAAGCTGGGCCAGGGTACAGGCACTATGGAATATGACAAATGCTGCTCTGGGGGTCTGTTGTGGTTGGCTTCAGTTGTCAACATGACACACCTGGGAAGATGGAACCTGAGTTGGGGAATTTCCTTTATCGAACTGGCCTCTGGGCATATCTGTGAGGCATGTTCTTGATTGTTCAGTGATGTGGGAGGGCCCAGCCCACTGTGGGTGATGCTATGCCTAGGCAGGTGGTTCTGGGCTGTATAAGAAAGCAGGCTGAGGCACAGGGCAGAGGAGCAGGTCAGTGACCAGTGATCCTCCATGTTTTCTGCTTCTGCTCCTGTCTGCAGGTTCCTGCCCTGAGCTCCTGTCCTGGCTTCCCTCCATGAAAGACTACAAGCTGTAAGGTGAAATAAACCCTTTTCTCCCCACGTTGGTTTTGGTCAGTGGTTTATCACAGAAATAGAGAAGCAAACTAAGACAGGGGATAAGAACCAGGTGTTGAGGAAGCTCAAGGGGAGGGAAGAATTTCCAGGGATCCAACCTGACAAGTAGACCTATCCAAAAACCTCATCTCACTTCCCTGTTCATCCGGCTGAGATGATGACTATGGACTCTCCCATGTAAATGCCCACATGCACCTCTTCTCCTCACTCTACTATTCCAGCCAACTCCCAAGCACAGGTCAGTCTTCTCACAGGTGTGCTTGTTCCACAGAAGCTCGTTGTTGGGGAACCCCCCCACACACCACTGGTGAGAGTCCTATGAACTCATGCTCACCAGCACCAAGTGAGCACTACCACAGCTATAGTGGCCCCTCTATGCAACAGCTAGCTCATTCTCTTCAAACCTCCAGTTCTTGAGTTAAAGATGACTTCTCAGAGTACATGGACTCAACTGGGTTCTTCCTGTCACTCCCACAACAAGCATCTCGCTCTTCTCTTCAGGGAACCTGACCTCACTTTGTATGTGCATGCCTTCCTTTATCTGCCTACGGCCTGTCTCTTCTACTCTGTGGGCCTCACGCCCTTGAGCATTCTATTATACCCTGTGCTTGGCACATGGGAGAATTCCATTTCCCATCTATTGTGGAAGTGGCTAGAAGGTGTCCTGGCCTCCCTGCCTCCACTTGGATGACATAGTGATTTCTATTAGCCTTGCATGGAAAGCGCAGGCTTTCAAAACTCCCTGCTTTCACTTTGGAATCCCAAAGGGTCATGGGAAGATGGCACCTGCTCTCACCAGTACAGACCCAATTTTGTGCCGAATGAAGACCTGTTGAGCACGAATTCACAGGGCTCCCATCTATACAGTGGGGTGGGGGTATTTCCCCAGCAAGGCTCCTCTATGTGGGGGTAGATCTGGGACAGGCACACCTGTGAGAAGGCTTACCTGTATTTGGAGGTTTGCTGGAATAGTTCAATGAGAAGAGGAATTTTTTGTGTGTGTGTCTTTTTGAGACAGGGTCTCCCTGTAGCCCCAGCTGTCCTGGAACTCACTATGTAGACCAGGCTGGCCTTGAACTCACAAAGATCCGCCTGCCTCTGCTTCCCAAGTGCTGGGATTAAAGGCGTGTGCCACCACACCCGGCCCAAGAAGAGGAATTTTTATTTACAGGGAAGAGTCTACAGTTCAAGCACCTTATATTTAGAATTCTTCTTGTGACCCAGAATTCACTATAAATAAGGGAAAATCCAGTCCAGCAACCTTTTTCAAGCTCTGGGCCGCTGTCATTGTGTTTCATGAAACCTCCCCTGCCCCCCCAGTAGATATCCTGTGTCACCAAGGATCATCATATAAGCACTCCATAGGGCAGGGGGCAGACACTGCCCAGACCCCTCAGGTCAGCCCCTCCCTGATCTCTTCACAGCCCTAGAAGCATTGTCCCTGTTCCAGTGGGATGAATAATAACTGTGGAATTCCAAGGACAGAGTTCTAACTCCATGGCCACATTTTAAAGATAAAAAGGCAAGAGCAAGGGAGAGAAGAAATGTGTTCAAGGGCATGGGACTAATTAGGGACAAATCCGCAGACTAGGGTGCAGAGTCCATGGCTCCCGGCTCTGTATTCCTATGCGGCACCTGTCCAGCACTGGCAGGGCAGCATCTCCCACCTGGTAGCTCCCTGTCCTTGAAGGGATCGTCCACCTCTGCACTCTTGGCTCTGGCATCACTCTCACAATTGGGCGTCACATAGCTGGGAAGAGAGAGAGAGAGAGATGTGAGGTTGGGAGGGGCTGGCACCTGAAATCCAGCGATGGTCTGTCACTAAGCCTAGAATCCTCAGGGTGGATGACAAAACATTTCCTCTGCTACTCAGCAGCTACAAGACAATCTGGCATACATGTTCTCATTGAGACGTATTCAGGCATGTCATTTCAACCACTCAAGCATGATAACAATGCCATCTCCAATATGCACACTGGACTTTTTTGAGCTATAGAACCTCATGACTTAGGTGGGAAAAATAGCATTTTCATCAGGAAACTTGGGTTGAGAGAGGTTTAGTAGTTTTTCAAGGTCCACAGCCAGAAAGGGATAGATCTGTGACCAGAATCCAGGTCCCCAGATCTTTCTATCAAAACCATCTTCTTATGAATGGAGACTTCAGTCTCACAAAAGCACAGCAGTGAAAATAAAGGCGGCATAACCAGGGGCTGGTCCCGTTTCCCAGGACACAGCCTGAGGTATAGGAAAAGCTCCACGTAGACTTACCGTGTGGAGGTCCCAGGCAATGGGCGCCCTGTGTCCACTAGGACGCACCAGCAGTAGCCTGTGGACTGGTGGCATTGCACTGGCTTATAGAGCCCACCAGGGGCACACTCGGGGATCACAATGCCCTCACGGGGATTCTGCCGTGCCTCTTCCAGGGCACTCTGCCTCTCCTGGTCACACGAGTGGACTTTCTCTGTAAAAGAAAATGCAGCCTCTGGTGAAAATCATACCTATGACTAGCATTCCCTTCATCTGTCTAGCATCCAGAGTAAATAGCCAGGACCAAGCCTGCCCCCAAGGAACCAGCAGCTTGGCTGATGAATCATGGAAGACAGCCATGTCTCCCATGCTGCCAGAGTGAGGGCCCCAGGGGTTCCCTATGGCCATCTCCATTACCAGGGCTTATCAGCACTCCCATCAAAGAGGTTCTGTTGTGGTAATAAGTCAGCCAGGACTTCAGAGCTCCTTCTCTGAACAGCAGTTTGCTCCAGGTCCAGAATTTCTTCAGTTTTCAGAGTGACCTCTGCTGATGCTCTATCTGTAGCTCCCCGAGAGGTAGGAGCCAGGCTGCCCTGCAAATAGATGCTGGACTCCTGTGTAAGGGGATGCTCCCTGGTCTAGGCACAGCAGGACAGAGCTACAGCCCACCACCCACACGCAGAGTGATGCTCGAAGCAGAAACAAGAGGCAGCCCTGGCTCCTTTCAACCTCTGACACAGCTGGGCAAGGAAAGAAGCTGAATCTATCACACAGAGCTGCTTCCATCAAACGGGAGAGAAAAGAGTCTAGGCAGAAAAGTATCTGCACTCAGCAATCTCTGGAACACATGAACATGTCTCAACAGCTAAACCAAGTCTCTCCAGAGTCAGGCCCAGGCAGAGACGGTAATTAAGGCCCTGTGCCAGGCTTGGCCAATTCACAGGCGCTTCACACCTTCGGGGTCCTTCAACAGAAAATTCTGCCCACTCAACTACCCTGGCTTCTCTTTCTTTTTTTCTGGGGGTGGAGGAGGATTATTATCTTTATATATTTTGTTTCTGTTTTAAGTATTAAAAATATTCCATTTGTTTCCTTATTATAAAGAACATTTTAAAAAGCAAATCTGGACAACTATATTCCTACCATAGTTAAAGCCTCCACCTTCCTTAGATTATTGTCAGGCATATGATCAGTATAACTTCAAGAGGATTAGACCAGAGGTTTGTGATGGTTCTCTCAGCCCCAGTTCGGTAGCTTCATTTTCCTGCCTCATATTTCATGCCATGAAAGAGGTGACAAAGGAACAAAAAAAAAGGAAAACAGCTTTTTACTGGCACCACGCTCGTGTAACAACCTCTGACAGAGGCTTTAAATTAAGACTCTCCAGGCCAATATCTCCAGCCATAAATCAGATGACCACAAGATGCAAGGAGATATAGGAGAAACTGCCCCCACCCCCCCAGGGCAGCAGGAGGAGCCTGACTTCACACCATGAGGGTCCTGAAGCCTGGGGAAATGTGAGCAGAGATGCTGGGTAGGAAGAGGAGCCCTATAGATGGATTTCTGGAAGTTCTTGAAGTCTGCCCAGAAATGTTTACAATCAGTTTCTGTGAGTGCCTACAGAGGGCTAAATAATGAAAATGATGAAGCTCCCAAATCCAGAAAATGGGGAAACAAAGAGGCAAGAGGAAGGGAGAGAGAAGAAATGTGTTCGAGGGCATGGGACTAATTAGGGACAAATCCGCAGACTAGGGTGCAGAGTCCATGGCTCCCGGCTCTGTATTCCTATGCAGCTCTGTATTCCCAAATCCAGAAAATGGGGAAACAAAGAGGCAAGAGAAGGCTAAACACAGCACTTACCACTTTAATTTTTAGTTTTTGAGAATTTCATATATGAGTACTGTCTTTGCATTATTTCTGTCCTTCCCAGTCCCTCACCAACTCCTCCCATGTCCCCCAACTTCTTCTCAATTTCCTGTTCTCTTCTTTGATTATTATTTGTCACAGATACATACATACCTTTATAAATATAAATATATTATATATAGATACATAAATACATTTATAAATACATTATATATAGTTACATATACATGTATAAATATAAATTATATATATACACATATATATATATATCTCAATGAGTCCATTTAGTGGAGTTCATGTATACCTGTGTTTAGGGCTGTTCATCTGGGATTATATAACCTCTCAGAGAGCTAGTCCCTGGGGAAAACTGATTCTCCCTTCCTCAGCAGCCATTGATTGCTGTAGCTCTTCCATCTTGAGGTGGGACCCCGTGACATTCCCCCCATTCACCTTGACATGTTGTTCTAGCTTGTTTCTCCATTGCTGTGACAAAACACTCAGACCACTACCAACTTGGGGAAGAAAGGGTTTGTTTGTCTTATATCTCCCAGGTCACAGTTCATCAGGGAGCCCAAGGTAGGAACTCAGGGCAGGAACCTGGAGACAGGAGCTGGAGCACTGGCACCACCTACAGTGGGCTGGGCCCTTCCACATCACTCAGTAATCAAGAAGATGCCCCACAGACATGGCCACAGGCCAGTCCTATGGAGGCAACTCCCCAGTTGAGGCTCCCTCAACCCAGGTTTGTCAAGTTGGCACTAGAGCTATCCAGCACACATGTCAACCGATTTTTTATTGTGTGGATCTCTTTAGACGATCACACTGTGGCGATGTCATGGATGCAGCTTCCCTATCATATCTAGAATGGATTCAGTAGCAGCAGGTGTCTTGTCCCTCTGGCTCTTACACTTTTTCCACCCCATCTTCCAGAATATTTCCTGAGCTTCAGGTGTAGAAGTTACTTTGTAGAGCTATGTCACTTAGGGCTAGGCTTGTCACAGTCAGTATTCTCTGCCTGTGACCAGTTGGGGAACTTTGTAATAGGACTTGTCCCTTCAATATCAGCCCTCTAAGGAAAATGCAGGAATGACTTATAACAGTTAGGCTGGAGAGATGGTTTAGGGGGTAAAGTGGCTGCCACACAAGCATGAGAACCTCGTTTTATGTCCCTAGGACCCACATAAAAAGCCTTGGGGAGGCAGCTGGATAGACCACTCAATGGTTAAAAGCATAGCGTTCTTGAAGAGGGTCAATATTGGGTGGTTCACAACCACCTGTAACTCCAGTTCCAAGGGGTCCAACACCCTCTTCTGATCGCCTTGGACACTGTACTCACATGCACAAACCCACATATAAGACATACACATATACACATAATTAAAAACAAAGATAAGCCAGGTGTGGTGCCGCACGCCTTTAATCCCAGCACTTGGGAGGCAGAGGCAGGTGGATCTTTGTGAGTTTGAGGCCAGCCTGGTCTACATAGTGAGTTCCAGGACAGCTGGGGCTACAAGGAGACCCTGCCTCAAAAAAAAAACAAAAAAAAAGATAAAAATAAAAAATGTAAAGGCCTGGCAAGGCACCACACCTCTACAACCCTAGGATCTAGGGGTAGAGAAAGATACAGGAAAATCCTTACTGCTTATTGGGGCTCCACATTCAGTGAGAGACCCTGTATAAAAAAGTAAGGTGGAGACTGATCAAGGAAGACAGCCAACCAACTTCAATCCCTTCCTATGCACACATGCACATGCACACATAAGCACATCCATCCCTGCACACACCCACATGAATACAGAGAGAGAGAGAGAGAGAGAGAGAGAGAGAGAGAGAGAAGAAGAAGAAGGAGGAGGAGGAGGAAGAGGAAGAGGAAGAGGAGGAGGAGGAGGGGGAGGGGGAGGAGGAGGAGGAGGATAGCACCAACTATTTGGACAGAGTATGCACAAAAAGAAAAATCTCTTAAAATTGTTTTTACAACAATAAAAGCAAGTATTCTTTGAATAAAATGTGCTGGGCAACAGATGAAGGGCTTTGCCTTCCTAACCTCTTGGTCCACCTGTCCTGGGTACTATCATGATGCCCACTTTGTAGACAAAATGCTGAACTCTGGAGAGAGTGTGAGTTTTTCCAAGTTACTCAGTGGGGAGAGAGGAAGGCAGGGCCTCCAATACAGTCAAGCCTGCCTTGCTAGCCTGTAACCACTTGGTTTTAGAGGAGATCACATTTATTTTTTCAATGAGTTTTTTTTTTTTTTTTTACAGTTATTTTTACAGGCTGGGCACCTGACAGACTCCCCATGATCTGCTGCATTCGAAAGCAAATGTGTTTATACAGAACAGCTACCTTCCAACCAACATGTCCTCTCAACTTAAGCACACTACAAACTTGCACCTCCACGTTTTTGTTTGTCTCAGCACTAAAAACTTAAAACCAAATTTGTAGCTCTATACAGATCTATAAAGTGAATGGCAACAGCGAACATCTATTTGTGTACTCTCCATGTGTTAGACTCGGTACTAGACACTCAAGTTGCATGAACTCAAGCCACACTATTCCCAATCCTCTAAGATAGGTATTAGTACCAGGAATGCAAACTAGCTAAGTAATTTGAGCAACATCCTAGAACTAGGGGGTTAGGAATGTGGCTCAGCTGGCAGAATACTTGCCTAGCATGCATGAAGCCCTAGGTTTGATTCCTAGCACTGCATAAATCGGGCAAGGTGGTGCACACCTGTGATCCCAGAGGCAAGAGGATCAGAATGCCAGTCTGAGATACATGAGACCCTTTCTCAAGAAAAAAAAAAATCATAGAACTAATGGGATCCCTCCCCAGCCCAGCTGAGGTCTTTACCTCTCTGTAGTAACATCTTTCATTATCTTTCATTGCTATAGGTTAATCCAAGTTTTATTCTATCCCATACTTTCCTTTTACTTAGTAGATCATCTATGCAGTACATAATCACAAAACGGTCTCCAGTGATTGTGATTCCCTGTTTCCATGCCCTTGTGTAGGCTGGTCCACATGAACTCTGCCTGGCTTTGACCCACCAAACAGCAGTGTTGGAGATGCTAAGAACCTGCCCAGGCCTTCAGAGGTCTCCCAGCTTCCACTTTCACTTTCAAAAGCTGCCCTGAGATTACCACATAAGGAAATTGGTCTAGCCTCCTGGAGGAGAGGCCACAGAGAGGAAAAGGGAAATAGCTCAGCCCGTAGCCAGACTTGCTCTAGGCATGCCAGACATCATCTTGAATGTTCCATCCCCACTGATCCTCCACCTGGACAAGTCTAGGAGCTAATTCATATACAGCTAGTTAGATAACCACCAGGCCAACCCACAGATATATTAG